TTTGACTAATCCCGTTGAAGTGTGTTATCTGGTTACTATAATATGTTAAATGTTTTTTTGTTCTCCTGTTTGCTTCAAAAATCTAAACGAGGGATTTCTCCTTGGGAGTCATAATATGATTTGCGATTTCGCCTCAAGTAGTAATCTCTAATCGCTAACTGAAATGCTTTAATTGCCCGAGTAACAATAAACTAGAGAAAAATTTTTATACGTTCGGGCTTCATATGCCGAAAACATATGAGTATGGCTTGCAGCGATAGCTTCATTGTAGATATAAACAAAAATTCCGTTTATTTTCTCTATTAGCGGTTGATTACAAGTGTGCCAAACTTATCTACGCTAACTTAAATATTTTAAACAGCTCTACACCTAACCATGTAAATGCATCCTGAACAAGGTGCATATTACATTAGTTAAAATATTTATATATTAGTCCATTCTAACCAAAAGGACATCAAAAAGGGATGGCTGACACGTTCAGGTGTCCTCTGTCGGTGTAACACAAAGCTCTTACAAAGACAGAGATTACTTTCATTTAATTAGGAGAATTAGCAATGCCAGGCGGTGAAACAAAATAAAATCAAAACACTTTTATTGTGAGATTTAGCTTGCTGGAGGCCTTTCATTGTCGCAATGTTCGCATGCTATATTTCAGTACCTAGTGGGTTTAATGAATCCGTATAAGTGAGGCAAATCTGCTACTTTAAAAACATCTTACTAAATCATACCGTTCACCATTACATCATTTTTTTAGTACCATTTCCATTTCTAATTTGCAAAATTCTAGTTTTGCTGCAGGATCTACAGACTACAGTTCACATTTGGCTCAGCTCCTTACAAACGGATGATTTATATTGCTCAACCGCACCTTTGAAAAACTTTTCGAGCCTTTAACCGAAGCTCAGAGGTGCGCCGCTGAAGAAAAACTAGAAAACTCGGGAATACATAAATTAAATTTGAGTTTCCTTCTCAGACAAGACTCAGGCAAATAGGCTTAACAAATGAAAACTTACTAAAAACAAATGTCAAAATTTTTCTTCTGAATAAATGAACCACATTTTAGTGCAACATTTCTCAGGGGTTAAAAAGCTGCTGATAGTTCCAAGATTCGTTCGTGGAATAGTACAGTTACAGTTTCACTTGCTTGTTAACATTTATCTAACTTTTTCAGAATCATTTTGCCCATTTTCTCATACAGGCCACTTATTTGGTTAATTCTGCGTCTTTCATAATCTTTTAAAAACGTAGCTGTCTCTGCTACAAAGGTAGTAATAAACTGCCCATCTCAAACAGTCTAACCATTATCGTGTGTAGTTCTGTTCAGCCTAACAAATATTTATGCATGGACTGTAGATGTAACAAAGGAAATCCCATAAAATAACTGGGTACATTTATCGCTTGCACTTTCGTGTTTTCCAGTTTCGCTAAGAAATACACGCTTTCAGTTTGCAAAGGAAAACCTCTTGGAGTAGATTATGGAGAAAGATTTTAAAATAATTCACATTACATTTGACTTTCGCCGCGCGTATTTTTCATTAGTTCCAAGTGGATCTTCTTAAGAATACAAGCGTGGAAGGCAACGTACATAATCCCTAA